CTCTACAAAATGATATATGTCTCATCCCAAAAGGCGGGGGTAAGTTCGTGACCCTTCTTGTCAGTGCTTCTTAACTTTTTTCAGCGAATCGTCCGACCGCGCTCAGGTAGCTGCTCAATTGCCCCGCTCCTTTCAACCGCATTTACATTTGATAACCGTTTTTAGTATGCAGAAGATATCATCGCGAACAGTTTCAAGTCTAGTCCTCAGAATCGCCCCATCCCTACATCATTCTCGCCAAATGGTGGGCAACCTTGCTCGAGTCGAAAAAGACTACCATAAGCATTTGAAGGACCCTCACAGAACTTGGAAAAAACATGAAAAATGTGAATTGGTGAAAATTTACTTGTTAACGTCCGTACCATCCAGCGGTTCCTTTGAGAGACGCAACACCGCTGATGCTTCCCTCTTCAGCGCCTCTTCGGCTTCCTCAATTTGATTACAATTTGTGAATTTGTCTCCAAAAATCGCTATTTCCGTTGACGGAAAAACAAAAAGATAAATCGATAACCAAGCATTCTCAACAGAACTTCCTATCTTCAAAAAAACTAAATGTGGCTCGTTTAAAGCCATACGATCCCTTGGTATAATTGGATAGCACTCAAGAGTTTGTGGCGAGTGACGAAATGGATTCTAATGAGTGCTTTGACAGGTATTTGCAAAACTGCATTCAAAACATCCGAAACTGGACGAATGGCTTATATAAACATACTGTGACTATGTCCAGTGTTTACTGGGCATCAATCAAACCGGCTTTGAGATATCTTCAATAAAATATATCCACTTTGAGTTGCACACATTCAAAGCTGGACCAGCGACTTTCGATGTGTCATTCTTTAGTGTGTCAAACTCAATGCTTATCTGTCGTCACTGACGTTGTTTCCAACCCTTTAAGGCGACATATGCCGTGATTGTTACGATAGGATGTTCAGGCGATGACGGATTGCGCAATTCAGCCAACATAAGCGTCGTTCACTAAGCATTTTCCTTGGTTTTTCTATCTTACACACCTCTCTGATTTTTATACTATTTATAAATTCATTCAGTTTGTTTTTGAAATGGATCTTTCCGCAACGCTGATCAAATATTTCGGAAGTCATTTTTCTCCTTCTCTTAAGCTGCAGTTTTCATAACCAAAAAACAGAGTGGAACGCAATATGTCTCATAAATTTCAATTTTTTAAAGTGTTATTTCATTCGATCATTATGATGATTAATTCCAATGCGAGACGAGTGAACGTGCCAGTGATGTTCTGGAAGATATTGTTTCTTGATTGATTCGATGTTGTTTCTGAATTCAACGTTTGATTCGATGTTGTATCTTCAGTTATTATTCAGCACCACTGGTACATCATTATTATCGGTTGAAGTCGAGAAGATTATTTTCGTGGACAATTGAAGCATTCTGCGGTGTTGTATTTTCGATTCGTGATATCAGTGCTTGTGCTTCATCGCAAGAATTGATTGTTACTACTTGCATAATTCTAACTCTGACAGCTGGGTTGTGCGAATGATGCATACAACTTCTGATCATCAGAGGATTTATTCGTAACACAATTTAAAGCGTGTTGGTGACAGTGAGCAATCCTGATTCACAGTTGATATCATTTCGAAACGAGCTGAAGTTTGTCGGCTCATTCTGGATTTTTTCTGCACATACTTACTGGTGATGGTGAACGATCGAAGTCCGGTCGAATTCCAATCAAATTTCCGGTCTGAACATTTCTCAGATTATCGGTAATCATCGGAGCCGTTCGATTGAATTCCAAACGAACAATTTTGAAATTCAGTCAGATAACCATATTTCAGAATTTTAAAAAGAATTCGGTCGTCAAGAAAAGTCAAGAAATTTTGAACTTCGATTTGAATGTCCAATTTCGAAATCTTAAAATGCGTGTTCGCGAAACTTCGTTCGAATGCCATCAATAATATTTACAATAGCTGCATTTAATTTTCCAGACATATTTTCAGTAAGTATAATCAAACGTTGCTTTGAAGTCTATGGAACAAAGTCTTGTAGGTTATCGGCGTTTTGAGCGGTGTTCTGATCTTCTTTTCAATGAGAATTGTACTTGCTCGATGCATTCTTTTGGTGAAATAAGATCGGTTTGATCTGTCTGAGTTCGTTCATTTCGTTCTTCGTTGAATTTTCGCAATAGCATTCGTGTGAATTTTTTTTCGGATGATGTTTATGAGGTTAACGCCGCTGTGATTTTCACATTTTGCGGTATCACCTTTCTTGCGAGATCATAATAATAACGTGATAGCACGGTTCTTCGGCATTTTTTAAACTATATACCAGAGTAAAAGTTGAAACAGTTCTTGAGAAATCACCTCCTTTGATACTTCGAGGATTTCTGCAATGATGCTGTCCACTCCGGATATTTAGAATTTTATTCTTCAACTATTACGGCCGAGACGACATCCGGAAGAGGAAGCGGAAGGAGTAAAAATATTTGATGCGTGATTATACTGTTGAAATATTGGGTTGTTGCATAAGTTCGTGCGCTTTTATTCAAATGGATTATTCCGGCGAGAGTCCATTTTTTCGGAGTAGTGTATATGTTTTCTGCTCTTCACAACTGTGTTAGACGATCTACTGCAGTTTTATTTCCTTTGGATCTTTAGCGTGATGAAATGAAGTGTCAAATGGACAAAAAAACACATTTTCGAAAAATGTTACTTTGTGCAATCAGGGCGCAACAGTCGCTTGTGACATTTGCGCTGTATGAGGAGATGATGCAATGCTGGTAAGCACAGAACAATAATTCAGAGTTGAGTGAATTCTCAGAGAGGTCATCCATTTTGCAACCAATTTGTTGCGATTTGTGTTTATTTCATCACTTTCGTTTTTTGATGTGAATGATCACAGATAATTTTTGATTTAATATTTGAATCGCTTGATAAATGTACCTAATATCACCACTTTTCGCCGCATTTTCGATTTTATGAAGTACCGATTCTCAATATTTATTTCTATCTTTTTTTGCAATGCAGACAGAGGATATGGTATTCATCAGAACGCTTCCATTCAGACGAGCTTTTTGACATCTAAAGCGTAGGGTTTCTTCGGTCTAATCACACATTCAACAAATGTGAATGGCTTGCATTTATACGATTGGTTCTGACAGTGCAGGATTCAGCTGAAATTTAGTGAAAACTATCTCCACCGATTATGACACGTTTATCGTGTCAACTTCGAGCGAGACTATTCAAAAGTATCTTCGAAAGCAACTTACTGTGAGACCATTTTTATTGAGGAAGGCCAGAACCTGCTTCAGAGAATCTGGATTCAACGGTTGTTCGAGAATTTCTGCATCCATTGCTCACCTCGATCCCGGAATCAAATGAATTTCCGGTAATTTCTTCGAAGGTTCAAGAAACGGTAATATTGGAAAGAAAATCTTCAAACTGAAATCAGAGAAAATCTTCCTCATAAGAAGTAAGCATTAAACACACGATCGACTTTGCATAAGCGCATAATACAATGGAGTTTCCTTCGAGATGTGGGACGATGGCAAGAAATTCGATGACATTACGACAAAGCCATTGTTTTGCGGATCGAATCGATCCACCGAAACCATCAATTGCTAGTAGGTTTGCACATCGGCATTGAACTTTCACTAGAACTTAACAAGAGGATGAACATCAAACACTAAACTGGATATTTTTCGCCGTAAGTAAATTTACTTCCACTGGAGAGCAACAACAAAAACGTCCGTGCCCAAGCCGAAGCAAGTGCTAGTCGGAAAAAGGTGAGACGGCAATAATTCGGTGATCGATATGCGCATCAGCTATCCAAATCAAAATGGAACTTGGATTTGTTGCCCGCGGTGTTATCTTCAGCCCACTGTTTGAGGTTTATTCTTCGGTGTAGTTTTAGCTTCAAAGTGCAGCTGATGCATAAACCTCATATAAATTGGTTCGAGTGAAGCAAGGTTTTGACAACAGAAGTACAGCTGCTAAATACGTATCTGCTCAATAATTGTTGCTACGCATGGATTCATACCGGTACGAATATTACGGATGTAGCAACAATACGGATATGTTTTTCCCCTACCGTACGCCTAAGCGTGCATATGAGTTTGAACACAAGTCTGAGCGTACGCGTGAATATAAGCCTAAACAAGGACAGCAGTTTGATGGGAGTGGATCAACCCGAATTACGTCGGCGTGTACTGCTACGCCCGATTAAACGAATTTACAGATCTCCGGAGAAACTGCCACTTTCGTCTCAGAAGCAAAGCGTTCAGAATTCCCGCAGCACAAAATTGCCTAATGCAAAAAATCGCAATTGTCGGAGGATATCCGCAGAGAGCTCGACTTCCCCGCCGAGGAGCAAATTATCCATGGGAGGAAGTGAAACCCCGACAAAAAAGTCGAGGAGCGAAGGGACTAGCTAGGGACCCAAACCAAACAGTCGGGGAGCTAAAGTGTCGGGAAACGAGGTCCCAGTCGGGGACCTCGTTTACTAGTCATGAGGCAGTATCGCGTGCAGAGTGCGTGTCGCGCACTCATTATGGGATTAATGGACAACCATTGAGTCACATATATTAGCGACAGGCGGAACTAAATCGATTTTATGAAGGATCGATTCTCATTATTTATTCTTATATTTTCTTGCTATGCAGACAGAGGATATGCTACTCATCAGAACGGTACCACATTTTGCCAAGCTCACAGTTGTCGTGGATTTCAACTGTTGTTGACATTATACGGACAACATATCAGAAACACCAGCATTAATTGATTTCCGAAAATTTGGCAAAAATGAATAAATGCTCATCCCCCTTGATATGTTTACTGACCCCTTCCCCTGTGCAACCGAAAAAATTGAAACCCACAGCATCTCCTTCAAACGCAATAAGCCCCCTCCCCTATCCCACGAGTCGTTAGCGCCTGGTTGGGAGACATCGACCTAAATCAAGAGGACAACATAAAATATCGCATATCAAAATGATGAAACTTTTGGCGCGATCGATACTTTCAATTCATACTTGATCATTATTCATTTGCACCGCTCGTAATGAAAGCGTTGAAAATAATGAAAACGATCGTCATAATTGATCTGGCACGATTAAAAGTACACACAGAAATGAGGATGAATACAAGAAGAGAAGAGTGAGAAATGACGATTAGCATGAAAAACGAGGATAGAAGAGATGGACAGAAATGAGAAAATGGATGGAAACGATGAGAAATTGACAATACGTCGAAAAAAGAACAAGAAGAAATGAAAGTGGAATGTTTTTATCATCGATAATCAGTGCTGTAAATAATTTTTGCTCCAAGCTAGTCATACATTGGCGTTTTTCAAATTTCATCGTTCATTTCTTTATTTTGACTAGTAATTTGTTGATCGAGTACGATTATAGCATCAGTACACATTTGAGTGAGTGAAAAATTCTCTCGGTTTCTGAAAGCTCAAGACAATATGCGTTCTGGTCTAGAAACAATCTGTGCAAAATTCTGCTTCAAAAAATTAGTTTGAAAGTTAATTGGATCAACTTGTTCTTCACCTGAGGCGTTGTAATGTGCGCAGTTTTTGAAATTTCTAAGGTTCCATTCTTCTGAAAGATACTTTCGATCTAAATACAATCTGTACGAAATTTTGTTGAGGTCACTGGGTCAGAATGCTTCTTGCCTAAACCATCTGACTTCACTATGTACATGGCGCGAACCTAGCCTTTGTTCATAGAAGTAATTTCAAAGAGGTTGTTTTAAGTCAAAAATACAGGATTTTGGTTGATGAGACTGAGAGGATCCCTCCTAAAGTCAAAATTGCAGTACGAGGCCTGAGGAGGGGGGAAAGCCCAGCGACGTTCTAAACTAGTTGTATTGTTTTTTATCTCGCGTGAAATTCCATTTCACTTATTTTTTTCAGAATTCTTAAACCAAAGAGCACTTTATCCTATGCTGGGACTTGCACTTTCCAGAGCTTCGATTATTTCCGCAGAAAAATTCGTCACCCTATAACATCGACTGTATTCTAGTCTCATCCATTCCAGTCATACTCTAGTCTTATACTCCATGGTACACACTTTCATGATTCTGGGAAGCTTAAGGTCAATAACGTGTGTGCTGCTAAACCCATACGGGATTCACATTCTGTCAAACAACTCAGTTTTTTAGAGTTGTTTGATCGTGACAGGCGCATTCCCGATTAAGGTCGTCTTTGGTTGACTATCACTTTGATCGCATTCGCAGTGCCTGATGACGAACGTTTGATAACAAACGCTTATAAACGCTTTTTCATCAGCTTTCGAAATAATATCGAAATGATTTCATGACCAGCCATAATATACTAAGATATTCTGCCTCAAAACTTGTTCTTTTTTACTCATTTTTTTCAGATACAACAAATTTATTTAGCACGCGCCTCTTTTTCTCCTCACCATATGGCCGTATGAACAACCGAAAGATACGATGTATACTCATTAAACTCGTGAAAAACCGTAAAACCGTATTTACGTTTAAACAAAACATCAAAACAAGTGCGACCAGAATAAAGTAGAAAAACGACTGCTATTGTCATAATTCTATCGGAAAAAGTTCGTTTCATGGAAATTTCCGACACTTCAACGGCACTATGATGTCACCGCCCTCGCAATAAAAGCAATGCTCAACTCAGAAAAAAAAACAACATCGTTACAGTCTATCTACTCCGTTTATTCTCACATTTTTTCACACCAAAATTTTTCACACTCCAAAATAGAACCATTCTGAAACTGTCAACAGTGTTGATAGATTTTGATGGTTACGTATTTTTTGGTAGCGTTTACTGAACGAATGACTTGCTTTCGTTATATCCACCTGTTTGCTACTCATCACGCATTCATAAACGATTGATTCCATAAGCTGTTCACATCGCTTAATATTATTATTCATAATTTAATTCTTCTTATTCATTTTGCCCACTCCTCCGCGTTCACCACCCTTTGCTTCACTTTAATATTCATTAATTTGACAATATCGAATGAATGACTGACAGATATGGATACAGGAACGATTAAATAAATATTTTGTAAAACAAATATCAGAATAAATGTTTAGAACATATTCGCTTGCTACAATTATACGTTTAGCGAAACGGATTCAGCACGTTAAATTATAAAATTGCGCATTACCATCGTTATATTGATATGATAAACATTAATCTGTTTACTGCTACTATTATTATAGTTATTATTATTATTAACAATACTGTCATCATAAAATCAAAAATATTATTTATGAATAATCCAATTGCTTTCAACATTTGTTACAGCCAGGATCAGCCTTCATACCCAATTTCTTCTATTCTCACCATTACTACTTATCCATGTTATGGAGCTTATTATTAATGTCATTATCGATTTGTATTATTATTATTACCGTGGTGATTATCATTATTTCATTGCAATCTCAATCAATAACGTTTAACTCAAGCCTTTCACTCTATGAGAAATAACAAATAACATTAATCACGAACACTACCTAGAAATCACCTGATACATTGCCTGCATTCATATGAAAATATTTATTAAGCGAGCACGGCGACGATCTCTAATTGAATATAAGACTGGCTGATGAGGCTCGATAACATCGAAGACTTCAGTATGGTACACTTTCGAGTGAAACTTTCTTCGGCGAGCAGAACTCGGAGTCTTTCTCCCTTTCTTTTCAACAGAAAGCTCGAACTTCGCTGAGGAAAATTTAACTCGAAGCCGAATAATGGGGCAATGTCATTTAGGTTACATAAGCTACGAATCAGCTCGCATTCATGCGATTATGACTGCGAGCAGATCAGCGCCTCAGACTTGTTAGATGGATGGCATCCGAGCGAAATATCGTATTGTTCAGAATTCGACTGACATGACTTTTCGTCATTCCGACTGTCGGAACATATCGGTCGGAATCCCAAGACTTGACATTCTGACTTTCCGACCGGAATTGTCGGATTTTTCTGACCGACTGTTGGTCGGATGCCATCAATACTGCAAAGTCAACAAAACCATTCGGTGGAGGCTTAACGGTCTCCACAATAGTTCAGTGGGTGAGAGCATTCAACCAAAGATTAGCAGACTGCTGGTTCGAGTCCCCTAAACAAATGTCCACTGATCTAATCTCTAAACGCTTTTGCAAGTCCCATTCGAGACAATACTTTGGGAAACAGACACGCTGATTTAGAAGAAATTAATGGGTGGATCTCTTTGTAGAGAGGACCGATACTTTCACATGATTCTAAACTTTGATGATAAAACGTCACTGCTGTTGTTCTGAATGCATCCGTTCCGTGCAACCAAATTATTGCTCAACGTTCCTCTTTCACCTTCCACTCCAT